ACACATGTACACCTGTTCGAAGTCGAGGCGAGTAGTTAAATCATAATACCCTATAAATTCACTGCCATATCTCCCCATTCAAATCAGACCTCAGGCTGCAAAGTTCACTACTTAGAACTTTTACTTCTTACGTGGTAGAACGTAGACTATTTTATAGATAGTCAGTACGGTCGACTACGCACCGAGGAGTAATATCCGATATATGCGACAACGTCGCCCGAGGCACGTTCTCATTGACCCCATAACGGCAGTCAACCTCCCCACGGGTCCACCCGTTCCGTCCCGACTACACTTTTACACACAAACATGAAACCGTCCTCGCCGGCGAAGACGACGACCCCAAACACACCATATCGCGCATTCAACCGGGCGTCCCGCGGTCGCCCATCCGATCGATCTCCGTCCAAAACGGGGATCGATCGGAGGGGCTCGAGAGGATCGATATTACGACGGCCTGAGCCGAGGTCCGAACCCCTAGCGGTGCCCTCAGACTAAAGTCGTAGCCGTCAGGCGGAAGTTGGCCTTCAGCCGCTCCATAAGTACTTCCGCGGGTTTGGAGTGCCATCTGCACTCGCCCCCTATCGTCTGGTGAAGCTGTAAAGGCCAGCTGCGGCCAACAGCATTAGAGTAGTCCGAAAAAAAAATTTATAGAAAGTTTCCTCAATTTAGTTGCCTTTCTTTCCACATATGTTATTTGAATACATATATATATTATCAATTATATATATCTATATATATAAATAACATTTAAGTGTCTTATTGCATTTCCAAAATAATAGTTTTTCACTAAATACATATAAAAGTATATGCAGTATAATATAGATACTTAATTAAATCGAAAAGTTAATTTAACTTTGTCTTGTCCGTCTGTCTGTCTGTTTGTTCTCGCTAAACTCTGTAACGACTGCACATATTCTGACGGGACTTTCATTCGCAGATAACTAATATTATATGGAGTAACTTACTTTAGTACTTTAAAAAAAAATGGAATAAAAATCAAGCGGACGAATTAGCGTGTGAAAGCTAGTTATAATTTGAATTTTTTTCGCAGTGTGGTGTGATAACGTGGTGGTGCCGTGGACATGTGACATCAGTGTCGAGACAGCCGGCGTCGGCGCAACGCACGCGCAGCAAGGTGAACACAACGACCTACGTAACGTGTTTTGTATCACACGTCTCAGTTTTAATAAACAACTACCTATAGTTACATACCTATATATATATATATATATATATACTTAGCTGTATGTACTTGTGTGAATATATTTTAAACTAGCTGTACACGCGACTCCGTCCGCGTGGAATTTAACTTTATTTCTCTATAATAAAGGTAGCCTAAGTTACTCCTTATTACAACAGCTACCTGCCAATAAAAGTCTCGTCAAAATCGGTGAAGCCATTTCAGAGATTAGCCGGAACAAACAAACAGACAGACAGACAAAAATTATAAAAAATGTTATTTTGGTGTATGCACCGTATTTAAATTCATGTTACATGCACATAAAATACGGTAATTTCAATATTACAAACAGATACTCTAATTTAATTTATATGTATACATGAATAATAATAATTTCTGAAAGCACTTTAAGTAAATATTCGATAACAAACAAATATGTCATTTTCTTTGTGACATTGCAAAAATGATATAATTAATTTTTCCTTTTGTTTTCTTGCATTTTTTATTGATTATTCAGTTATCACATTATTTAATTCGGTGGCAGTATGAAGTTTGTCAGTCAGATATGTTTAAAAATAGAAATAGAAATAAACTTTATTCAAATAAACTTAATACGAGCACTTTTGAATAGTCACATATTTTTTATTCTACAACTCATTCGGAATTCAGACTCGTTACGAGAAGAATGAATAAGAAACTTGTGTGTTGCTTATCAAATAGATATTGGTAAAAAGATTGTATATACCAAAATTAATGTTGTTGTATGAGTGGTATAGTTACGTCACATACAATACAATTTTAACGTTTCCCAATAATAATAATAACAATAATCTCAGGACAATTCACACAGCGCCATCTAGACCCAAGTTAAGCTAGCTAGAGCTTGTGTTATGGGTACTAGATAACTGATACATATACATAGATATTTTTTTTTGTAAATACATACATATTATACATAGAAAACACCCAGACCGATACAAACAATCATACTCATGGATTCAAATGTTTGTGCCGTGCGAGGAATCGAACCCGCGACCATCGGACGTCAAGCGGTGTGCTTGACCGCTAGACCACGGAGGTCGTCGATTGTTAAATTCAATTCAATCAATTGTTAAATTTAATCAAAACACGCAATAACAGCTGACGATGAAAATAGAAATGATCTTTATTCAAATAAACTTAAGTAATATAAGCACTTTTGAATAGGTATATTTTTTTATTCTACCAATAAATTATCATCTGCTTCTTCCTTATCCCATTTATTTGTGGTCGGCGTAATATGTTTTTCTCTTCCATTCATCCCTGTTCGCAGTCATCGCGTTATTTACTTCCTTTCTTACCATATCATCTTTCACACAGTCCATCCATCTCTTTTTCGGTCTTCCTCTGCCCTTATAACCATCCACATTCATATGTAATACCTTTCTTAAAATATTATCCTCATTCCTACGCATTACATGTCCATACCATGATAGACGATTACTCTTCAACCTCTCTGATACCGGTGCCACTTTCATACTTCCTCTAATGTATTCATTCTTTATCTTATCCATTCTTGTCACACCACACATCCACCTCAACATTCTCATTTCAGTTGCATGCAGTCGTCTTTCATCCGTCGCCTTTACCTTGTTTTTGTATATAAATGTATGTAAGAAATTGCTTATAGCCATAAGACCACCTTTTGTAATTATTTTTTTATTTTACTGATTTTCTTATTGTATTCTATGTGCACATTAAAGAGTTTATTATTATATATATGTTTTATATATCTCCCTTTTTACAGGGGTAATACATACACACACATGGGCCTTAGCCAAGCCTGGATGTAGTATATGAGGATGATTATTATTATTACTATGCCAAAGTACTAGATAATGAAATAGATAATAACATTTCGAGACATATTAGTAAAGATTATAAAATGTTATACTGTATGTGTAACAACTGAATATTTCTTTTGTTCTAAGAATTTGATTACAAAAAAATTACAACATACATATGTTGAAGAAGTTAGAATAGTATATCTATTTAAAATATATTAAATATGTGTATTACATGAAACATAATTTCCATAACTATAATTTAAAGTTGGTCAGCTTTTTTTTTATGGATAGCAATGGATTGTGAACACTATTCTCTAACGGTATACACTAAAGACAGACAAAAAAAGGTAAAAAATGTTATATTCATATGCATGTAGTAAACAGCAGTTATTTCAATACTATAGACAGACAGACAAAAATACTAAAAAATATTATTTTGTTGTTACTACCGTATTTATATTCATATGCATGTAATAAAAAAGCATTGGTTATCTCAATATTACAAACAGACACTCCAATTTTATTTATATGTATAGAGTATAAGATAAGGATGGAGATCTTTTAACACTTACCCCTGGCATATGATATAGTCAATATTGAGAATACTGCAAAGTTCTTTGATCATAGTAACAGTAATACTCTTTCTACACTATTATAAACTGAACAGGGAGCCTACCAAAACCAAAAAACTATGGCAAGTAGTCCACATAAAAAATTTGGGAAACAAATATAATCCATTACAGGACATAACATGAAGATACATATCAGCTAAATAGTATTTATTGGGGGCAAGAATATTGTAAGTAATGTGGACTAATAACCCCATTGTGAGGTCAACCTTCATGTGGCTACCGCTGGATACCGTAGTGGTAAATTCATGATGAATTTAACATGATGGGCTTACTAATCAGACCTGATGCTCTCATCCTCATTTTATCCTACTCCACTGGTGCCCTGCCAGAGGAGTATGATAGTTAGCACAAGCGGGAGCACTATTCCATTATCATCCACAAAAAAAATATTTGTTACTTAATGGAATATATAATATCCATGTAATGAAATTATCTTCCAACACTTCATATTCATTTATTCTTTTAAACACCTAATGCAATAAAATATAAATAATATTTGAGTTATTTTAAAATTTTCCTTTCTGTTGTGCAATATATATTAATGAATGACTTTTAATAAAAGTTATCCTATGCAATTTATTTTGTTTTGTATTAATAAATATTTTATTATATTACCCATAGACACCCATATGTATTCCACTACTTTAGCCTCCCCTGGATGGTGTAAGAAATGAGTATTAGAAGAAAATGTATAACTATATATGGTTATATAGATATTATGGTTTACAGATACCATAGTAACTGTCCAGCACAGCCACAGTAGGTATTGAGGGAGTCAATGGGGGAAAACCTACTAGTGAAATGTTAATTGATAATTATATATGTCAATGAATTATATTCATAACTAAATTATAAATATGTATGTATGTTTTGATATACCTAACAAAAACTACAATTAAAATAACCTATCAACAAAAATAATATGAATTCTTATTGGAAACTCATTTTATAAAATTGAACCTAAATTTTGAACTCAAGAATGTATATTGCTAATGCCGCAACATGTAGCAACAGCATGATTATATTAAATGACTAGGCGAGAAGTGGAAATAACTTACCACAACTGTGTTACATCAAAACAAATTAATGTTATTGCGAATGACTGATAAGGAATACTTATTAACTGAAATGCTCGCTTAACAGAAGCGATAGGTAACATAATTAAACTGAATGTACATGAAAGGCACCTCAGACAACGGTTTTGACAACTAACAAGTAATTGGCACTCAGCTACATACTCTTGTGTACATCAAAAACAGGCTAACATTTCTATTATGAAAACAACGCGACAGGTCTGCAGTTACTGTTTCTAAACTGCTAGTTTCTAGAACACAGTCGATATAACAAAAAATATCAACTTACCAACAATAAACTTCAAATGAAATCGTAGTTAACAAATTCTTGATTCACACCTACACAAAATTTACTTCACTGTTATAAAAACACAATGTTAATACACATGAATTCGCACTATTGCACTTACTTTTGCCTAATTATGCCAAAACAGGAATAATTATATTAAAATAGAACACGAAGCGAACCACGACGGTCACTCTGTTTCCAACACTAATCAATCGGCCATTTCTCACTCACACAGATGTCTGTCTTACACTTGTCTCTGCAAGTCTGCAACCTGTATTCATAGGTACATTCGAAGCTAACCTATCGACTTGTCAACAACATCAGTCGTGTCAATCAATACGTTTTATTGTAAATGTTGCCAAAATTTATAATACACTTTCTACCAATCACTGTAGCAATTGACGTATTTGGAAAGGTGGTTACTTACTTGTTTACTTACAACTCCAGGGGGTTACTCGATAAATTATGTAGCAGTCACATAAAGTGATTTAAAATTAGGACATACCATACGACAAAATGTTTGGATAGAAATGACGGTTGCTAGAGTTGATTAAAAAAATATTTCATTTTGGCCACTGATTAATTAGATTAGAATTAGAAATAAATTAATTTAGATTTCATATCTGGTATCAATCTCGCATATTTTTGATATCGTGGTTAATAAATTAGGACTTCCATCTTCTCTACTGGGAACAGTTAGCAACACCAATTACGACTGACAGCACTAAAACTCCGTTTAGAATATATTGACTGACACTTATTGGACTGACATTCTCAATTTCAGAACTGTCACTAACTTGCGAAAAGCGCGGGAACGCTTGAAAGGAAGCGCGCTATTTTAAAAATTTTATTATATTTTATTTGGTTTATTCAATTGTATATCGTATATATTGTGGTTAAAATAAAATAAATAACCCACAACATGGGGAAGAGTAGAAGAAAGCGTAAAAAGCCTGTATCTCCAGATGATCCAGATAGTGACTGCAAATCTTCAACTTCATCCGAATCTGACGAAGTGGAATTAGATCAGAAAGAACTGTATAAAACTTATTTTGTCACGGATTATCATAGACGTTATCCAGAGGATTCCGGTGCAACTGAATTCGTTGTATTCGTTGAGTCTAGTGACCCTAAAACTATAATAGGCTCTAGAGACCTTCTATCTCTTTCATCTTGTTTAAAAAGGTTTAATAAAGGAGTCAAGTATCTCAGAAGCTTAAATAAGTATAAAATAGGAGTATATTTTGAGAAACCTGGCCTTGCAAATGCTTTCCTAAATAATTTTACCTTTCTTAAAGAATACCAATTTAAAGCGAGTATACCAGCTGGATCCACAGAAGTTACAGGAGTCATTAGGAATGTCCCATTAAACCTATCCAATAAGAAGATATATACCATGATATCAAGTTATAAAAAAATTATATGTGTTCGGCGGTTTCTACGTAAAGTTAAAAATGATACTAACTTTTTTCTACAGCCAACTCAGACCATAGCAATCACTTTTGCAGCTTCAGTTCTTCCAGATTATGTGGACCTTGAAGGATGGCGACACGATATATCACCATACATCGCTCCTGTGAAGCAGTGCTTCCGTTGTTTGAGGTATGGACATCTAGCTAAATATTGTAAAAATGCAGAGACATGCTCCATATGCAAAGGAAGTCATAATTTTAAAATATGCGATACACCAGTAGAAAATGCCAAATGTTTCCATTGCGATGGTAATCATGTTAGTATTTCCTCCAAATGTCCAATCAAACAAAAAAAAATTATAGAAAACAGAAACAAAGCTCAAACATCTTCATATGCAGATGTATTTAAATCTTTCCCATCACTAGGTACTAGACAGAATAAATATAATAATGATTTGATTTCTTTCCTTAAAAATGATGATAAATCTCTTGGTCTCTTAGTAGAGTCCATAGTAAAATTGATTACATTAAATAAAACTCAAAATACTTCAATTTGCACAAAAAATTTATTAGACATTCTTACTGAAAATTTCAGTAACAAAAACATTAGCTCTCAAAATTCACCTTAAATAATTTAAATATAGCTCAGTGGAACGCTCAAAGTCTGCTGAGCAATCGACATTTACTCACACATTTTCTTTACAGTAATAACATACATATTGCACTTTTATGTGAAACTTGGCTTCGGCCACATCATAAATTAAAAATAAAGGGTTATAAAATAGAACGCAATGACTCAGGTAATTACTACAACGGTGTTGCTATTATCATACATGAAAACCTTCATTATAATAGAATTAATATGTTTTCTGACGATTCAATACAAACTTTAGTCATTCAGATCATTATAAACAATGAAAAAATATCATTAGCTACTATTTATTGCCCCACCAATTGTTCAGTACCTTTCACAAAATCTAAACTTGTTAACTTTGTAAATAATACTCCTAAGCCTTTTATAATTGCTGGTGATTTTAATGCACATCACACCATTTGGGGTTGTGATTCAATTAAACCCAGAGGTAGAGATATTTTGGAAACTTTAGATGAATGTAACCTAGTTTTATTAAACGATGGTCATGTCACTACTGTAGGTAGTCATATTTGGAAGCCAAATGGCTTGGATTTAACCATAGTTAGTCCTTCTTTATCCCTTTCATGTAACTGGTATGTTTACGAAGATCCGTTAGGCAGTTATCATTTGCCAACAATAACACAATTAAATTTACAATATTCCAATTTTTCTTGTAAAGGAGCAAATAATTGTGTATCAGTTCCAGTAAATCGGCGTAACTTGCGACTTGTAAACTGGGACAATTACAGTAAAATTGTTAATTCCAAATTACAAGGCTTTTCTGACAATGAGAGCGATCCGTGTTCAACATATGACACTTTTTGTAATATTATTTTAAATTCTATTGATATTGTTCTAAATAAGAGTTCATCGGCACATCAAAAACAATACAATTGTAATTCTTCTAGCAATTCTAAACTATCAAAATATAAGCATCCTCCAGTACCATGGTGGAATGACACTTGTGCAACAGCTGTTCGTAAAAGTAAACAAGCATATATAGATTTTAAATATGATCCTACCACAGATAATTATATTAAGTTTAAAAGATTGCAAGCGGAAAAAAAACTTACTATTAAAACTGTGCGTTTACAAAGTTGGCATGAATACTGTTCTAATTTAAACAGAACCACTTCTATATCTAATGTTTGGACAAAAGTTCGAAAATTTAATAAGAAATATATAAATAAACCTCGCACTTACAAATCAGGTAACGATGATATGTGGTTAAATGAATTTTTACACAAATATACTCCAGATTACGTTGCGAGCCCTTTTACAACAGTTCCTAACAATTCTGATAAAGCTAAAGATATTTTCTTTGATAAACCTTTCAAATTAGCAGAGCTTCAATCAGCATTAAAATCAAGAAGGGACACAGCAGTTGGGTTGGATAATATTTCATACAAAATGTTGAAAGCATTAAATGGTAACAATTTAAATACCTTCTTAATTATTATAAATTTATTATGGTATAACTCTATAATTCCAAAAGAATGGAAAACAGATTATCTTATTCCTGTGTTAAAGCCTAATAAAAATTTATATGTTGCTGATTCTTATCGGCCCATTACATTAACATCGTGTATAGGAAAAGTTTTTGAACAATTGCTTAAACAAAGACTAGAGTTTTATTTCGAGTCTCAAAATCTATTGCCGTCGAATCAATTTGGATTCAGACGAGGATTTTCAGCTCGGGAAAGCTTAGGGCATTTTTATATCGATATTAAGAAAGCTTTAGAAAATAATCAACATTTGGTAGCAATTTTTCTGGATATAGTGGGTGCATTCAATAATGTAAATCCGAAGATTTTGGCAGATATCTTAATTTCTGTCGGAGTTTCAAATAAACTAGCAATATGGTTATATAATTTTATGAATGGTCGAAAATTATACGTTAAAGTTAGTAATGTTTCATGTATAGGTCCTCGCTTATCTCATGTAGGAGTATCACAAGGTGGTATACTTAGTCCTTTATTATATATTATGTATGTTCATAGAATTAATGATGCTTTAGGGCCTTATGTCCATAATCTCCAATTTGCTGACGACTTAGCTGTATATTGTTATGGTGACAATATTGTGGATACATTATCCAAAATCAATATTGCTCTTAGTAATCTTTCAGTATATTTTTCTTATGTAAATTTGGAAATCAGTCCTTCTAAAAGCAAAATGGTAGTGTTTAGTAATAACAATTTAAATATAGACTCATCTAGTCAGGTGAAATATATGAGCGCTATTATTCCAGTAGAGCCAGAAGCAAAATTTTTAGGTGTAATATTTCAAAATAATTTAAGTTTTAAAAAATATGTCGATTGTGTATCAGATAGAGCCATGATGTCCACTAATATTCTCAGATCTTTGGTCGGCACTACTTGGGGAGCAGACCCTAAAATTCTGTTAATTCTTTACAAGTCGCTGGTTCGAACGCATTTTGAATATGCGTTCTTCTGTTTTTGTAACAAAGAAAAATATGTTGATAAATTAGAAAAACTCCAAAATATAAATTTAAGATTAATTTTGGGAGCCATGAGCACATCACCAATAAATTCGTTGCAAGTTGAATGTAATATACCCCCATTGCCGTTACGTTTTGAATTGCTAAAACTTATGTTTTTACTGAAACTTTATTCTGTTCATGATAACCAATTATTACATAAATTAAAAAATCCATCCTCTCCTAATAATTTCCTCTCTAATAATATAACTGAAATTATTAAAAGTCTACATAACTCCAACATATTTATTAATCAGAAATTAGTTCACAATAGCAATTCATATGATTGTAATTTTTTTAAAACCCCCATTTTTATAAATAAGAATTTACATAATAAATATGATGTCTATGATTACATATCTCAATGGAACAATTATAGGCATATGTATACGGATGGTGCTAAAAATAAAGACTGCACGGCTATTGCTGTTTATGATGCCAAGGAAAAAATATCATTCGGTACAAAAATATCGAATAAATCGAGCATATTTACTGCTGAAGCTTACGCTATTATCTCAGCGCTAGACTATATTGGTGAAACAAACAATAATGATAAATGGGTCATATTAACGGACAGCATGAGTGTCTTGTTGGCCCTTGCGAATGTTTCTTCTAGTAAAACATCTTTCGTTATACAAAATATTCAAAGGAAAATATATGATTTTAAAAAACGGCTTAATATGGATATTAATCTTATCTGGACTCCAGCTCACGTTGATGTCACTGGCAACGAAAAAGCTGATGAACTGGCTAGGTTCATCACAAACTGTCAAATTCAAGGAAAAGAAAAATACATGTTAATCCCAGCTTCAGATTTTATCGTTGAAATAAGAAAAACAATTAAAACTAAATGGAAACAACAGTGGGAAGAATCTATAAAAGTTAAAGGGAAATGGTTCAGAGAAATACAGCAAGAATTTAAAACGCCATGGTTCATTCAAGGAAAATATGTGGAAAGAAAATTTTATTCAATTTTATGTCGTCTTAGAATTGGACATGGAAGATATAAAAAGCATTTGCATAGGATGAAAATGGTTTCGTCTCCTATATGTGATTATTGTTCTGCCGACGAAGATCAATCATTAGATCACTTGTTTTTTGAATGTCAACATTTCGCAATCCAGCGATTAATATTTATTGATAAATTGATCAATATATATGATAAAATGGAGATCCCGCGCTCCATCCAGAATTTATTAAAGAACACAGAAACATACAAACCCATTTTCGAGTACGTAATAACAACATTTCAAGATATATAACTACTGAAGACAAGTATTAGAAAAAAAAAAAAAAATACGAAAATATTACTGAAGACAATGGCTGTATGGGCTGAGTCCTTTTGCCTTTCCCTAAAAAGGGAAAAACAGAACCAAAAAAAAAAAATGTCACTAACTTGAATTGCACTGACATTTATTTGTTTACTAATGGCACAATTTACTATTAATTTTTATGTAATATAATAATAATGGGAAAGATTCGTAATGCAGTGGCCGCATATAAAGCTCTAAATGGACTCATATGTGTTTACAAACCACCGTGCGTGCCCATTAAACAAATTCAACACACTTTAATAACCAACTTATGTAGAGGTTATGTCTCATTCGTAGTTGTTATTCATTATTGCAATAGTCGAACACTCCGTTTGAATAGTTAATTAATTTATAGATCTGAACGAGTTACCTGGTCGCCCACAAGAGAACAGAGTAGAAATAGTGGGTCCTACCAACGCTCCGTTGGCTGTGAAGGTTGTTCCTAATCTCGCTGATGACCCTCTGGTGTGCGGTCCACGATACATAAACGAAGATTTCCGATGTAGCTGGGCTTCACATTTAGGTTTATTCTCTAGTGGAGTTTTATGTAAGTACCCCATTTTTGTAGTGTCCATATCAAAAACATACTATTATATATGTTTAAAATTACCAACAGAGGCTGTGGTTTCCATTAAGGCCTTTAGAGTAAAGTGACCAACTATTTTTTGTTCAAAAAGAGTACACTTTCCAAGTATTTCATAGTTCAAAAAAAAGAAAAAACAGTGATAAAACTTTATTTTCTTTTAAAAATATATTTTTCTTTGGATTGGATTTTTTTTGCTGAATAGATGATGTTAGTCTAATAATGTAGGCACATCTGAATAACTTTAATTTTGCCACGCTTTTTTTTTAATATAATATAATAACTGCCACAAGTTTAAACTATAGCGAGCATGACTAATATCTGCCCTTATATCCACAGTGACATAATGCAATAATAGCATGCAGCAATCTGTAAAGTATAGGGCCCCTTCAATTATGCCGAAGTGCCGCATGGTGGCAGCGCGCCTGCAGCGCTGCAGCCGCACTGCTGTCACTAGGTTTGAGAATTGTAGTGCAGTACATAGTTTCACGATGGACTCATTCATAAATTCTTCTACTAACTTGTACAAAAACTGTGTGGCCGCAGCGCGGGTGTAGCGACTGCAACTTCGCGTTCTTTTTTTAAACAGATTCACAAAGTAGACAGGCCGCAGCGCTGAAGACGCACAGCCATCGCGCGGCACCTTGGGGCAAATTTGAAAATAATTTAAAAATATTTTATAATCTTCCAGTACTAGGCATAAATGATGGTACCAGATTAACATACCACATAAACACAGCTAGACTCACCAGGGCCTACAAAATACATGGCCAGCTTGGCAAAGCTACAGATACATATTTCTGGAACGGGAAAACAGTTGAGAAGGCAACATTTCGCCATGTGACGAGGCAAAAGATGGATGGTGTTGTGGCCCATATGCAGGCTGCCCACCAAAAAACTATGTTCGAGTAAGTAACATGATGTACAATACATGTTTATTATATATATGCGGGTGGACCATTACATTACATTGAACATTATCATCTGTAAAAAAAATATATCAATTTCAGGTTGACAGGAGTGCATGTGGATTCACAATCAGCATATGAACTGGCTTCACAGGGTCTAATTCGACCTGTGAATAGTAAACTGCCAGTGCTTTATGGCATCAAGTGTGTACACTTTCAACCACCTCATTTTACATTAGGTAAGTCCATATGAGGGATAAAATCCGAAATGAAGTAATTCGCCAGAGAACTAAGGTCATCGACATAGCTCTTCGGATCTGTAAGTTGAAGTGGCAGTGGGCTGGTCATATCTGTCGCAGAACCGATACTCGCTGGAGTAGGTGTGGACCGCGAATTGGCAAACATAGTGTAGAACGCCCCGCAGCTAGGTGGAGCGACGACATACGTAGGGTTGCAGATAGTAACTGGATGAGGAGGGCTGACGATTCTGCCCAGTGGCGTGCCTTGGGAAAGGCCTATGTGCAACAGTGGACTGCAGTGGGCTGATGATGATGATGAAGTTCATATTACAATATACCCAATATTGTAATATACATTTAAGGGGCCGTCGATGATTAATCACATCTTTTTTACCTCCCCTCCCCCTTGGTGACATGGGGTGAGGTTTAAACTACCCCCCCCCCCCTCTCCCTCACCCAATACCACGTGTATTTTTAGTAAAAAATCTTAATATTTTTTAATATTATCTTTAAATACAGGCACAAAGTGTAATCTTATTTTATTATGATATTAAGGTCCATGATAAAAATTTATACAGAAAGGTTGTAGATTGGTTTTGATTAGCATAAAATGAATACACGTGATGTCTTACTAGACCCCTTCCCTCTTGTGATATTTCGCCTTTTTTGTCCTTGTTTGTTAAATTCCACGCGGACGAAGTCGCGGGAACAGCTAGTTGTATATATGTATGTATGATTGTCACTACTATATGTTAAAGAAACAGCTTCATTGGACTTTGTGATATGACCATACACAACAAGCTTGTGTTATATCTTCAGTTTTTGTTTTACCCCAAGAATATGGTACATTTTATAAATAATGTTCTCCATTACAGAGATACAATCTGTAAATGAATATGATAAATATCTGTGGACATTAATTCACGATTTGGGAGTCCAGCTGAAGACTGCGGCACACTGCACTGGAGTCCAATGCATAAGACATGGCAAGTTTGATGTAGAACTCAGTCTACTCAGGAAGCACTGGCAGTTGGAGCACATCTTGAACAATATGGATAAATGTCATGAGCTGATCGAAAAATACGAGGGAATATTAAAACCGAAATCTGCAACATTGTCCTCATGAAGTTTAGATTTAGACATGTATTAAATATAACATTGTTATTATTAATAAAGTAAGAGACTGAAAGTTATGACTCGAAATTATATATTCAGTATATGTACAGGAGATCTGTTTAATATATATAGTAGTTTCTTGTGTTTACTCAAAGTTTTTATATTTTAGTATAAACACCAAACATGACCTTCTTTTTTGATAAATAAAAAAGGTCATGTTGGACAAAAATTTTGACTTGACCAGCAAATAGGCTACAGAAAGGAATGGCTAAAAAGTGGTCCCATGAAATACTTCTATCTTCAGTCACATTTCTTTCTACTACATTTATATTTAATGTTTTCATCAAAAAAATCAATATATCCGATTATAGCCATAAGGCTTATGGCAGATGGAAAGAGAAAAGAAAAAAAAATATCTAATGAAATAGAATAGATGATAATGAATTTCCATACTCTACTGTCATAAACACCGGGTGCATATCTTGGCTAGTATAATAGTTCAAACTGCACTCTGGTTAGATACACAAAAAGGAGTCCTTTTACACTTTCTATAAAGACTACCTCTAGTTCATATATCAACTAGGTTGTGATGGTGAGCTTGAGACTGGTGTATTCGCTTGCTTCTCCATTTGCTCGATCCGTTTGTGTCTGATCATGTTCGACAGGATCCCATCAAATGATGTAGTTTTCTTTTTAGCCGAACCCCTCAGTGTGTCTTCACCCTCCCTGCGTACTCGTAATTTCAGCGAATTCACTTCATCCATAAAATCGAAATCTGATTTCTCTTCTCTGACCGGCGACACAGGCATTTCTAGTTGATTCGATTTACTCACTGCCACCGGCGAGGGCGCTCGCCTACCTGGGCACTTCCATTCCAGGTTCAGAGTGCCAGTTTTTTCGATATTCTTATAAAGTTCTTCCAGTTCTGCCGGATCTGGCATCCAGTTTTTGCCAATGGTAATGCCGGCTTTAGACAATTCGTCGTCTGAGCACGGCAGCTCCCAATCATCTCCTTGAAGCTCAGGAGTTCCCATTGTATGTAATATAAGAATAGTTCAATAAATGTTTCAAACTTTCAAAGCTAAAAGAGAAAACAAACAACAGCAATGCACAGAGTAGGAACCTACCTACCTGTCGAAATTATAATTTAGTCTGAGAGTCTAAAATCTCATTGGTGTTCTGTGCTGAAATCTGTCCACAGATCAGAAAACCTAACTCTATGATACTTTTTCATTATTGAAAAAAAAAACATAAATAGTTATTACAGCGAAATATTTATTTACTTTGATAGATCAAAATCGTATATAATTTTTTATGGATAATTTCACTCACTATAGTCACTTTTCTCTAAATTGTCTAGGCAATGTAGTTCGATTGCAGTGACGGCTTTTTGCCAGTGCTAAAATAAAAAAAAATAGTTTATCTATCTATGGTATCCTTTATTTATTATTTTTAAATGCTTGTTTATATTATAGGTTATGAAATACATTTGTGATAAAATTAATACATTTTTATTATAATAATGTCATCTTCCGATTCAGAAACAGACAGCCAGCCATTGTACAGGTACAATTCAATATTCACAAACAATGTGTCATAAAAATAATAACCATAAGATAACTTTTATTTAAAATAAATTTTAGATTGGGCGATTGTGAAGTTTGCGGAGATAATAAAGCTATTTACACCTGTCCAAAATGTGAAGTAAAAACTTGTGGCTTAAACTGCGTGAGGATACACAAAAAGGAATTGGAATGTGATGGAGTTAGGGACCGAACAAAGTTTGTTAGAATGAAAGATTTTTCCGACACCGACCTATTGAGTGATTATCGTATGCTGGAGGAGTGCGCGCGGTTCGTATATGGCGTGAAACGAGACGAAAAGAAACGCTTCACGAGAATTGATAAGGATCTTCCTATTGTGAGTACCAATATCTCAATTTTTAATAGTTTGTTAAAGATATCAGATGTTTATAGCCCTGTAACACAGCGACTTTATATCTTCATATAAAATTCATTAGCATCTTGATCCCGCCTAGAAATGGTAAAAAAGAGACACACACTTAGACATAATATAATTTTATTCTGGATATTACTATCAATTCATTTATTCTTATAAAAACATTAATTGTAAACCTTATGTCACACTATGTGTTGTCTATATTTATGAATATGTTATTGTGTGTGATTATTTACAATCAAATAAATGATATATCTATCTATCTATCTAATCCTGTTAGACAACTATACTGTACTGTGTTGATATTATATTGTAATATTTATATTTCTATAATTTTGAACTGTTGAGTGCTCTGCATTCTAATTCTGTGGTACAGATTTATAAACATAGTATTATAACTTCGAACTAAGAATAATGGACAAAACTAATGAAATTTTTAGTTGAATCAGCATTCTCAATGTGGTAGAACAATAAAAAAAATTTATTTCTTCCAGAATAAGAATATTTGTTGACAATGATAAAATCTTGTGCTAGCGATTTTCCTTTGAGAATCCAGCTTAATACATGTTCTACCAGCTTATGCCAGGTATCAACTACCTGGTCTGGTATTTTACATCTCTTGAGGAGGCTTATGCCAAAAGGCACACAGAGTTGTAGGACATTTTATAAACCATAAAATGTGCCCCAACTGTGGGGAGAAAGGCTATATTATTATTAAGTTTACATCTCTGAAAGTGTGTAATCAAAATTAATATTTATCTCTATTTCAGCATTTATTCAAGCTCAGAAATGCAGCCCGAAAAAGAGGCATAGTACTGCAGTTCTTAGCACAAAACTTCACAAGACACAAAATGAACACGACCAAATATAATTTTAAAACTGAAATAATAAACTGGAGAGTGGAGTGGGTTTTTCCTAATGTGGACACGGATCCTATAAAGTTTATTGATGAGAAGTGTTCAGAAAGGAAAAGATTATCGGAACTATTAGACAAATACTTAGATCCCGATGCTGCAGCGTTTGAAGGGTCTAAAGCGTTGACTTATTATAAATCAGTTGGTTTTAGCGGAGTGAAGGTGCTTTTAAAAGGTATTTTATATTTTATTCATCTAATATATAGCTGAATAAATGCCAAAGGGCAAACCACAATGCAAAGAAAACAAACAATTTTTTTCCAATAATGGTATCTGATTCGCTATAATTTTTATATTAAAAAAAGACACATAATTCTAGAGCTAATACATAGATATACTACTTAGAGATTAGTAAAAAAAGTAAAAATATCACAGTGAAAATTTTGATGAGCTCTCCTTTAAAATTTACCGTTTGCGTCATGTGGCTCTATGGCACTTAATCAGCGATATGTACTTGCTATCTATTTTTTATACTACAAATAAACTCTATTCAAATATAAGTACTGGGGGAAGAGATTATTTGTAATGGGAGCTAATGACATCACTGCTCACCGCGCACCGCAATGTATTATGTTAGGTCAACCTCCTTGTAGTTCCCCCTGGAGAAGCCATTGCAGTTAATTCCTAGTTCCCCCAATCACGATGGGCAAATTGGCCTGACTTCATGCTATATAATCATTTTCCAAACCATTTCATTGTCACCCATTAAAAAAAAATATGTAAGCACTTTTAAATAATCATATATTTTTGATTCTACACTCATTTCATAATTAAAACCTATAAATGAATACTGCAGTTGTCATTATCCAATAAAAAAATAACTTGAAAGAGTAAACAAAATGGAACAATATGTTAAAAATAGATTTTTAATCTATACACATAAATAATAATAGAGTGCCTGTGTGTAATATTGAAATAAACGTTTTTTACTACAAATTTATATTCATATCGAATATAAATATGGCACATACTCAAATATAACATTTTTTACAATTTGTCTATCTGTTTGTCTGTCTGTTTGTTTCGGCTAATCTCGGAAATGACTGCACTGATTTTGACGGGACTTTTATTGGCAGGTAGCTGATGTAATAAGGAGTAACTTAGGTAACTTTTATTTTAGAGAAATAAAGTAAATTCCACGCGGAGAAAGTCGCGGGAACAGCTAGTTTTACCCAATTCTTTTATTCATTTCGCAGCTGAAAAAGTGAGAGGCTCATCGAAAAAGTTCTTTGAATTGGATCCAACCGAAACATTAGCAGACAACCTGTCAGGCAAATGTATTGTGGAATTCCCCATTGTATTTGTGGTCCTTAAGGATCATGCTTATAACTTGGATATCATTGCACCAGGTATGTATGCAAACAAAACATAAGCTGCTGTTATTTAATTTTATCACTATAATTAACTTTTAAGAATGGGATAGAAAATTCTTTTAAACTGTCTTTTGCCTGCAGCTACACGTTAATTTATCCCCTTAGGGGTGGACTTTTTAAAAATCCTTACTTAGGGGATGCTTACGTCATAGTAGCTTTATGCATGCAAAGTCTCAGTCCGATCGGTTTAAAATTGACAAAGTTTCATACAAACTTTCATCCCCTATTTTATCCCTTGGGGGTAGAATTAATCAAAATCCTTTCTTAGCGGATACCTACGTCATAGTACCTGCGTGCCAAATTTCAGTCCGATCCATCCAGTTGGGCTGTGCATTGATAGATCACTATGTCAGTCACCTTTGAGTTATACATATATATTTAGATTTAAGCACTTTTGAATAGTCATATTAATATTTTTTTTATTCTATCACTTATTCCGAAAGCTATCTCATCACAAGGATAAGCATTTTAAACATTATTATCAATTAAACTTAAATTTAAGTACTTTTGAATAGTCATATTACTTATATTTTTAATCATTAATTCCAAAACCTGTATTTCATTAATAATGAAATATTATTGCAGAAGATACATTTGAATATCACAGTAAAAAGGAAAAAGAAGATATGAGTAAAGAAGAAATAAGCAACAGAGAACAAAGAAATGTTACTCACGAAAATATTACACAGCATAATGGCAACCAAAATTATTCAATGCAAACGCAACGGGGCTTCCATAAAAGAAAAAGAGAACTTCTAACAGAGAAAGTGGCGAAGGAGAAGGAGTTGGAGATCAAGAATGAAATAAAAGCAGAAAGAAAGAAGAGGCCCAAGAATCTCTTGTTCACCACTGGGTATTCGTCAGAGGAGAGTTTAGGAGACAGTGACAGTGACAACGCCAGCTAGAATTAAGGATATATTTATAGTTTTAAATTTGACGTGTCACTATTTATAAGTATAATTAGTAAATCACGGAATCTTACCGATTTAGTGATCACCCGTGATCATGGCGGTTGAAACACTGCCGGAATATCGGAAACTCAACAAAAAAAAAGTGGTAAGATCTCGTGATTTACTAATTATAAGAATATATTTAGTTTTGGTATTATAATAAAATGTTATACATTCACAGTAATCTTACATTATTTCTATAGCAATCAAATTGTTTTCAGTTAATATAAACAAATGTTCATTAGTGGCATTGATGCCAATAACTTCTCCATATTTATCAATGTTGAATACACGCTGTTGTCCAACTTTCATATCCACCATGACACCATTTGTCCGTTTTCTCAGTCGGGTATCTTTAGGACCTGAATTTTGATAAATGAATATATGTCTACGAGCTTCACATACAACACTGTACATGAAATTTGGGGGACATGTAATGAATTTGCGATTTTCTTTTGATGATTGTATATATCCAAAAGCCATTAAAGTTCCTTGGTGTTTCATGGGCCATGTGTTTGAATTGACGAGTTGCGCGTTAGGCTGCCAAATGCAGGCGTCCACATCATGCCTCAAGACTAGTGCTGGAGTCTCGTGTGTCTCTAACTGTACACTGAATAAATACTGATGTACACTTAACGGTATCCTATGTGTAGTCTCATGATTTGTTGCTTGTATTCTCACTGAAAATTTAAAAAAATTAAATAAATCTTAGACCATATTACAAACTCTTATTAATATTATAAATGCGAAAGTTTGTGATGGATGGACGTTTGTTACTGTTTCATGCAAAAACTATGGAATGGATTTTGATGAAACTTTACTATATAGCTTGTAATGTAATGTGGACTCTACTTTCTGCAATTAGCCTCTCATTTGGGCTGTTGTGCATGTAGAGAAAGACTACTAACATAGCCAGCCAAGCTCCTCCCAGAAGAAGACTCAGAAGACTCTTGGACTTCATGGGCTTCGAGAAGCGCAGAAGACTGTTGGTCTTCACGGGCTTCGCGGAGCAACTTCACCATATCAAGGCTTTGTGTTTGTTGTGCGGCCACTGCTGCACACTCCAGCATTATGTGAGCGGCCGTTTCTTCGGCTTCAAAGCAGCCCCGACAAAGGGGACTGTCTTGCACCGATTGTGTACAGATGTTTGTTTAAGGAACAGTTGCCCATTATTGTCCCTATCATTATTTTAAGGTTTTGCCTATTTAGGTTTAATAGACGTTTTGTGAGTCCTGGGTTTGTGTAATAATATAGCTTATATATCAGAATATATAGGCTATAAATTTCATGTCGGTGAAACTATGGGCAAATTTTTAAACATAAATATGTTTAAAAATTTTGCAATAATTACACTTACACTATCAACTTAAAGTTGCAAGTAACTAATATAAAGTAATAGCTATCTAGCGTATATTGAATGTGTCTATATAATTTAGCTCTTAGGCATACATAGTGTTGGATTACAATCCAGTTTTGTACCCAACTACAGGCTCCTAGTTATATTATTATATTGACTGTAATCTGTTTTGTATGCTAATAAATAAATAAATAGTTTCATGGGAACATAAATAAAGAATATAAAGATAAGAAATAAACTCCTATGTATTATAGAGTATATTTCTTTTATTATTTTAGGCATATGCTTACCTAAAACAGTGTCTTCTTCAGAAGCAGCATCACATTCCTCCAACTCCTGTGTTGAGAATCCTGGCACTGACTGATCTACAACAGCCTCTGTGTCTGAGCATAAATGTGCCAGCCTTTTATGTGCTTCCTCCACTAAGCTAGCATCCATGATTTCCTCACCATTACTATCTTCATGTTCTAGAAACCGATCCCACATCATGCTATCTGCCTTGGTGATCAGTATATCGACTTGACCATTCTCTAGAATGTTCCATGTTGTTAACTCACTGTCAACCTTATGCCTCAATGTGCCATCCACAATAGTATTGCCAGCGTAGCTTACTTTAATAGCTAACGGAGTAACACTTATATGTAATAAATCTTTAGAAATGTTTTCTGGCAATCGTAACGTCACATTAACATCTTCAGTAGTTTGTAGCCATGTGTACAGTATTTTCCTTGGTTGTTTTACAATATCATTCTCAGGATCTGTTATGAACTTGAAAGGATTATCGGAAGCAATATACAAAGCTGAACAGGTGCTTTCTATAGCCGAGTAATGGACGATGCCTTTGCCTTGTAATTGTCTTATACACACTTGCTTCCAGTTCTGCTTGTCATTCTCATATGTGACCCAAGTGAGGACAGTGTTGAAATGTTTCTCAGATTGCTCAACAGACTGCAATAAACAATGCAATAATTCACTACTACCTTTCTCTTCAACCTTTGAGTCTACAATCACAAAGAACTTTCCCTCGCCAAGCACCAAACTTGAGTGCTGCGTCTGCCATGATTCGGTCCTACTAGCCTGGCTGTTTCTATTACCGGTCTCAACAATATGGAGGTATCCAGTACCATCACTGATAGTGGCTAAATTACCAGAAGGGAATATCAGGGATAGATTGAAATGTCCAGATTTTCTTTCGATATGTGCAGGCACATCGTAGACAACAGTGTTCTTGAAACTATGGTTATTGTTCTCAAAGGTTACGTGACGAACTTGCTGTTTCTTATCGAAGTAGTAATAATTAAATGTGTAATTCCAGAAATCAAGTACCAGGTGGTTATGTAGCGCGAAGAGTTTGGCATGAATAAAAGAATATTGCACTTCGTCTGGGTACACTTTATCCACTGGCGAGGGGAGATCGTGCACATAATTTGGAATCGATTGGAAGTGGAGCTTGTATCCCTCGAATTCATGATCGAATAGGCGCCTGTCGGGACGCAATTCAATTACTGACGCCGGCATGTTCGGTTATATTACTAGTTTCAAATAAATAAATATTCAATTAGACATGTTTCTTATAAACAAATTAATTGTATTTCTTCTATAGCCCCAAAAATAAAAAATAAACTAAAAAAATTATTAATTCCACGGTGGTCACGAACAATAAAATTAAAATTTATATACACTATTTGACTGAAGGACTGACAGTGACACTAATTGTGAGTTAATTTTGTTGGCAATGCTGCCTTGCATCCAGAGCCACATAAGCATAATTGAAAAGAATAAAGTCTATAATAGACAATTACTTTTTTATTTTGTATTCAAATGTTTGAATAGTTTTGCAAATTTAGTTTATGTCGCTTTGAAATAAGAAATGAAATTATTATTTATTTTGTATGTGCTTTGAGCACAAGTCGAAAAGTGCAAAATTTAATTTATAGTGTAGGACTGTAGAAATGAAATAGAAATAGAAATAGAAATAATCTTTATTCAAATAAACTCATTACCATCACTTTTGAATAGTCATATTTTGATTCTACCACTCATTCGGAATGCAATTCATCAACAAACATACAAGAAGAATGAGCAAGAAACTTGTGTGTTGCTCTTTTTAATAGATGTTTTCTTTATATTCATTATATAAAAAATAGTTTAAATAATGTCGTCCGTAAAGAATATTGAAACATATTTTAAATTGCCGTTCCATCAAGAAACTACTTCTGTACGTACTGTTTAAAATATAAATACCGCTTACCAAAAAATAGACAAGCAAATAAACTTTTCAAACAAAAGTACAGAATTGCAAATACAATATAAAAAATACAAATATTTGTTTTTTATGTTTGGTATCCCATATTAGGACAATTCAGGATCTGTTTTATTAAATTTTGATGTTACCAGGATAGTTTAAAAATTGCTTTATAACTTATGCACCATGATGTTTGCTTACAGAATGAATTCTATATCCACTTAAATTTAAAGGAATTGGCAGACAAGTGTGAGCTGAATAAGGATACTGTATTTAGGTGCAGAACTATAGGCATCCTACAGAGTGTTAATGGAAAATTTATGTTGAATGAGGTAAGTAAATCACCGTATATTAAGGAATAACATTTTAGTCCTTTTTCTTCATGTATGATAATGATGGTGCACCAGTCTGCGCTACATTTCATCATCCTCCTCTGGTGCCCCAGCGTAAACTGTTAGCGCAGGTGGCAGCATCATTCTGTTATCATCCATAAAAAAATACAATGGTCTAACTGACCTGATCGTTCAGCTTTCTTTCCTGATGCTTTAAGTTTATCCATATTAGTTTTTGTATTCTCTCTATAAACAGTATTTTTCTAAATTTATATGATTTAAAATATTCTTTATAGATCAGCCAATTAGTTAATCATAAACAATTATCTATGTATGTAATGTTTTCTTAAGCCCTTGCTCCTATGTCAAGAAATAATAAAAAATATTAGTCACAACCAGAACCACTCCTTTTCAACTTCACAAAGTCTTTTATTAACTTATTATTTGCACACCCAATCAACACTTCCTATGCCACACTCTATTGGGTTGACTGGAAGAGATCTCTTTTAAAGATAAGTCCTCCTTTGTTAACATTAGTTGTAATTAATATACTTACAAGTGTATTTAAGTGCAATAAAGAATATTTAAAGTCATTTTCAAGCTGTGTAGTAATATGTCACGTTTGTTAATTCCAGTTGACAACACCTGTAAATACTTCTGATGCTCCGATTGAGTTATCAGCCATATACCTTAAGACTCCACCTCCATCGACGGTGATCCCATATCCAGTCCAAGTGTTTGGGACAGTGCAGTGGGAACACAAACCAATGTTATTCGCTAAATTTATACAAGTACAGTTTCAGTTTGTTTTTAAATTAAATTGGACAGAGCATATGCTAAGAGTTGTATATATACACTATAAGATGAAATATGAAGAAATGGAGCAAACAAGTGCCTCTTTGGTACCTAAGACACTGGACTACAAGACGGGCATCAAAGAACTTTGAAATGAGATCAACTTGGTTCTGGGACCACTAGAATTGAGTTGTGGAAGTTGGAGCTCAATGGAGAGAACTGGAGGAGAGTCCTACAAAATGTCCCAAAACTATTTTGGGACATTTTATAAACTACAGAATTAACCCAACTTTGGAAAAAGGCTTTATGTTATTATTATAATTTAGAGACAGGCCTGTGACATCTCTCTCTCATATTAATTGCATTTGTTATTGGTAAACATCATCACTAGCTGAAGAGCCCTTATGATGATGTCAGAAATATTGATAAAAAGAAATTCCCAGAACCTTTAGTTGCAAATTGATAAACTTCAGCTCTTTAATTTTACACAAGTTTATATTTTTCAATCACTTGACATATTTTTCATATTGGTATGTTTTGTTACAGATCCTTCACGCTGCAATGGCGTTACGAATGAAAGAAGCCTGCAAATCTATAACTGACGCACATTTAGCTACTCATAGGAATGAGGATGGCTATTTTGAAAGTGATAGATAACTTTATTCACCTATAAATCTCGTCATTTTATAATTAACTAGTTGTGCTCGCGATATCGCCCGCGAGGACTGTGACCTTGGACATTTTTAATTATATTATTAAAAGCAAAAGAAATATGTTTCTTCGTTCCGGCTTTAAAAATGACGAATTTCCGGAAAACCACCTTAAGAGAATCTTTTCACAAACTTTGTCATATTTATTTATATTTAATGAGCATATGTTTCTAGCTTTAAAAACATATGTTTTATTACAGATACTTCACACTGCTATGGCGTTACGAATGAAAGAAGCCTGCAAATCTATAACTGACGCACATTTAGCTACTCATAGGAATGAGGATGGCTATTTTGAAAGTGATAGATAACTTTATTCACCTATAAATATACATATATAAGGAAAAGATACAAAAATACATGAGTAAAATAGACGAGCGGCAATCCACGAGCTACAAACCACTATTTGGACGCCAGTTTATTAAATTGACAGTTATTCCTACTATTTTAAAATACTTATGTATAAAATCAAAAAGATTGGACTAATTTTTAACGTATTGTATAAAATAGTATGTTAATATATCAGTGTTTTCTTCTCTAAACAATATTTCACGTTGAGCTTTGACCTTTTTGTATTGCTACAGATCACACATTGTACACTAACATTTCAAACTTGTAATTTTCAACACAAGTGTAATGGGATCGTAATTTCCACAATAAAACAACAATATATACATTAATGTATGATCACAATAATAACAGTTGTAAACCTTATGGTCGTACTATGTATATTTATGAACATGTTTTGTGTGAAACAATTGTGTGTGATTAGTAACAATCAAATAAACGATCTATCTATCTATATATAATTGACTTGTGGCGGAACTGTTGACTTGGTAATTGTTAATGCATAAAGTATATAATTAGGACGATGTTTTTTTAATATGGACACTGTTGGAACAGGTTGATATTTATTTATTTTGCACACAAAATATACACATGGCGGACTTAATACCTGATGACATTATCTACCAGTGAATCATCTAGACAGATAATAAGGTTGTGGACATTTTTAATGTATACTTTAGTAATAAAAAAATACCAATAATATGTATTTTATTGTTCCTATTAGATTGTCCCGATTGAAGAGATTGTTAGTTTTTGTGTATAAATAAAAGGAATTTAAAAACAAACCTGGTTTTCATTATCCGCGCGATTGGTACACTGGATTTTCTTTATATTTGTACCATTTGTACATTTCTCGCTCGATTTGTACACTTTGTGACTACACGAACATTTCGATGCACACTCTAAGATGTATATGCCCTTAGAAGACAGCCGATGAATTAAATTGCATTGTTTATTTATAGAGATAGTCTGGTCGATTCGCAGACTTGAGGGTAATTTTTCTATCCTAAGATTTGTTGGATAATATGATTAGGAAGGAAGGGTAGAACAATTTATGCAATTTACTCGAATAATTTAATATCTTATATCAGAAACACGCTCACAACTCGGCCGCTCCATTCGCGGGCTATTAGTATAATGCTATTGTCAAAGTAACTTCACAGACCGCCATCTTGTGGCCCGCTACTCGAAAAACCGGAAGTCATAACACTTATATAAAGAAAGATAAAAACTAGTAAAGAATGCACATTTTTATTAATTCTTAAATAAATATATTCATTAATTAACAATAAGTGAAAATTTACAACATTCCTTCACCGAACACAACTGTAATATAGCATAATTTTAAGTTAATTATTAGCAATTTTTATTTTATTGTGAATATTATTACAATTAGAGCAATTGCTTTAAATAATTGATAATATGTACTTGGTATAAATGGAGAAGAATATAATTAACAAAAAAGAAAGAAAAACATTGTAATGGAATGCTTTATCCAAATTATTATATCTTATTGACTAAGAAGCATTAGACTTCCACTCAGAACCAATGTCAGACATTGTTGTGCATTTCAATATTGCTATTTTTTTTATTCTTTTCCTTTATTTATTTTGTGGAATATTTTTTTATTATTATGTACTATATTTTATTCAAAATAGAAAAAATACTAAAGATTTCTGTTGTTCCTAATATTTATATTATATTATGATGTAAAAATGAGTTGAATTTATTTATTCAAGCATAATAAATGCTTTAATATTACATTTGTTTATTTATTATTGTCAGAAGACACTGAAATGTACTTTATGTAGTGTAACTTTGTGCATTTTATACTTTACCTTGATGCTGTGAGTTCGATTCCCGCATAATACATACATGATTCACGGTCTTTCTATCTGTATTGAGGATTTATATATATTAAGAAAAAATAACTTATGCTCATTTCTTCCTTAGTACCCAGTATACAAGTTTGCTTATTCCGAAACTAGATGGCGTTGTGTAGCATATGGTAGGGTTTACTTTTTAATTTTCTAATAGTAAAAAAACAGGCAAAGGCATGTTCCAACTCATTTTTACTAGCACTAAGATCACAAAGTATACAGCCAAAGTAAGACCCTAAAGAACCCAGAAGTATAGTACAAAAACAAGCAATATGACCGCGCCAGCAGTTACTTTTACCAGCATAGACTTCGTGTTTAGGTATGTGGCATCTTTCTTGTATTTCTGCGTCATCATTGATAGGTTTTGCGTTTTTGTGTCCAATTCTGAAAATATATAAATTAAAATTAAATATCGTTATTACGTTTAATTCAAATTCAAAATATCTTTATTCATGTAGGTCTATTACAGACTCTTATGATATGTCAGATCTACCGTCAATTCGGAATGATTTTGAGATGAGAAGAACTGACAAGAAACTCAGCTCGTTTTTTTTAATGTTGTACATATTTACAATAATACTATTTCATTTAAATTTTAATTTGAGAGAATAGAGTGACCACCAGCATATGCTATATAAAAAAAATAAAAAAATCTAATCAGTGTTCGCAACCTGAACAGACCAGTCCCCACAAGCAGCACCCATTCACGAGTATGACGGATGAGCAAGCCATCATTGCACTCAACCATATTAGAGGGAGCACATCGACCCGGCCCACCACGCCGCCACAAGTTTGAACTTTATAGCGAGCATGACTGTTTCAAGTTACTCCACTACGTCATTTATATTATTTACAGCATAAACTGTACCAATCACAGTTTTCAATCATTACAATATTTAATTTACATTATTTAAATTACAATATGTTATTATTAAATTTAGAATAAGTTTCTTTAGTGTTTATTACATTTTCTATGTCAATGAGAAACTTATATACCTCATAACAAAAGTTAAAATTGTAATTAAGTCCACGAATTGTAGTCATTCAAGTAGTCGTTTATTTTATAATAAGTGTATTTTGTGTGCAAAGTGTATTTTTTACATGTATCTTAAATTTCCCTTCATTTAAATTCAAATTAACACTGATGTTACGGTTTATACATTAATGTTACTGTATAAAAGTCAATAAATATTATTATTATTTCTATCTGTTTATGCTAAAGGATAGTCCTATTTAGGGAGCAGGGTTTCACCTTATTTTTAAGGGTAAAATATAACACTGTATTGTGCTAATAAATAAAAAAATGTCCCTTGATAAACAATAATAAACAGTACATTTATACAATGTAATAGAATCATCTACAAATGAAATGGCAATGCATAAGTGGTGTACAACAACTGTTAACGAGCAGGACGCCAGCGTCTTTGCCAATACAATAAAATAAATGTACACGCCGATATATGGAAGTTGTAGCATTGGAAGCGAGTGTGCTGCGTCATGATGCGCCACCCCGTAGATGCCCAGGGGTAGTTTTAGGGTTGCCATATAGAAACTTATCAAGTCAGGAACAATTCTAGAACAACAGTGTCGGGTCGTGGTCGTATAGTAAAAAGTATCTCGTTTTTTTGGGGGGGGCAAGTGCGAGCGGACAAAGCACTCCCCTCCCGCGCGCTGCCCGTACTCACAGGTAGGCAGCGTCATTCGTTGTTTAGTACTAGTAGGTCTTCAGAATTCGACAATAAGGTTTAATTACACGGGATAAGATGCAAAATTCTGTGACAATCCCGGATTTCCCGGCCATCTGGCAAGCTTATTTGTATATTGTAGAGAGCGAGTGTTACCGGCACTGCGCCGCGCTGTAGCACGTCGAGGATGTTCTGCATCATGATGCGTCATGCGGATGAAGTCGCGGGCACGGCTAGTATATGATAGAGAGCGAGTATTGCCGGATGTTCTGCATCATGATGCGTCGCGCTGAAGCAGAATAGAGAGCGAGTATTGCGGAGAGTGTTGTTCTGCATCATGATGCGTCATGCGGATGAAGTCGCGGGCACGGCTAGTATATGATAGAGAGCGAGTATTGCCGGAGAGTACTGCCGATGTTCTGCATCATGATGCGTCATGCGGATGAAGTCGCGGGCTCGGCTAGTATATGATAGAGAGCGAGTATTGCCGGAGAGTACTGCCGATGTTCTGCATCATGATGCGTCATGCGGATGAAGTCGCGGGCACGGCTAGTATATGATAGAGAGCGAGTATTGCCGGAGAGTACTGCCGATGTTCTGCATCATGATGCGTCATGCGGATGAAGTCGCGGGCACGGCTAGTATATGATAGAGAGCTAGTATAACCGGAGAGTACTGCCGATGATCTCCATCATGATGCGTCATGCGGATGAACGCGTGGAGGTCATATGATAGAGACATGGTACATTGCTAGGAATGAGTTCATTAGTCCACATTACTAACAATCCCATTTCCCCCCTGCTACGGATTGGGCCCCTGAGTTTATGCACCAATAGGCCCCTCTTCCCCACTGGACGCGTGCACAGGGTCCCGCTATGGATTGGAGCCCCCTAGTCTAGTCTAGTCCCTACTCTATTACCAAACGATAACCTATAGCTACTGGGGGAAAATCAGTCTTAACAAATGCTTACCGACTATGGTCAATTTGTTAGTTTTTGTTATTTTTTTTTATAAATGTCTCTCAAGGACAAGAATCCCTTATCACTTAATGACTTTTTCAAATTATTTTTGCCTGGTTGGTTTTGAAGGTAGGGCATCCCCATATACATCTCTAAAGTCATGTTCAAAAATGACTTTATCTATTCAAACAAAATAGTGCTTTATTATTATGGTCATGCCCCGCCAGCGTAATACCTTAGAAGGCAAAATGGGAGCTCCATAATATTATATATATATATATATATATATATATATATATATATATATATATATATATATATATTCAACATGAAATTTTGGCAGTTACAATAATTAAAAACTTATATAGCTGTTTCTAAAAACAATAAAAATATTATAATCATTATATTATAATAATACATGAAGTAAAAATTTCGTTACCCCTTTTTATAAATGTTAAGCGGACGCAGACATGAAATTTCGCACACTTATCACATAGAGAAGACTTTATTTTCAATCATTATTTTTTTTGCCTAAGTTTTTTGAATTATGGTTCATCTTTTATATTTTTTCTTATAGTCATGTTCAAAAATAGTTTCATATATATTTTGTTCTTTCAAACAAAATAGGTCTGCTTTATTATTATGGTTCATCACACATTACCATTTTACATTATCATTGTAGGCCTAATGTGCCCTGGGCCTCTAATAGGTGAAAGACGGCCCTCTTCACCATGCACGGCTAGTATATAGGAAGCAAGTATTACCGGAGAGCACTGCGCCGCGCTGCAGGACGTCGTCGATGTTCTGCATCATGATGCGCTGCACGTCCCCGAGCTGCGGCGCGAGGGAGGCGGCCGCGCCCCCCCGCCGCGCGCGCGCGCCCCCCTCCGCGTACTGCCTCCGCGCGCGCTGCATCCACGTGTCGAACTCGATGAACGTGTACGGACGTGTTACTGTGTTCACCTGCACCATACGTGCGAAGGGATTTTTTTAAATTTATGACATTTATTTATTTATACTCTTTATTGCACCAATTAGGGGGACACGAGCAAGGAGACTTATCGGGGACGAATCACTTGTAGCTAAGAGGCTTCAAAGTCTTCATCACCGACGTAAAGTAGCTTGTCTATCGGTGTTCTATAGGCTCCATTTTGGTGAATGTGCTCAAGAGCTGCACAACCTCATTCCTCCAGCACCGTTCCATCAACGTACAACAAGACGTGTAGAGCGGCTCCACCCCTACACTATTGACATCCCAGCTGCTCGAACTAACTGTTTTGCGTCATCTTTCCTTATGCGAGCAGCTAAGGAGTGGAACTCTCTACCAGCGTCTATATATATTATCTTGTTCATTTCATTAGGTTACAACATTTCTAATTTTTTTTAATTGTTTTTAATAGCCAATTAAAAAAAACTATGACATCAAACATACTAAATAATTAATAAAATTCTATACTGTATATTATCTTGTTCATTTCATTAGGTTATGGGCCCAGCACAATTCTAATTGTTTTTAATGGTAATTAGAATTCAGAGTAAAAAAACAATAAATTAGAAAGGAACTGCTACAAACAGACAACTTCGCTATATCTTTTATGGATACATTATTACATATTAGTTTATTTTTATTTTTGTACCTCTATTGTATTTTATCTGTATGTTTGTATTGTATTTTGTTGACTGATTAATGTAATTGTGTATCTACTTTTAATTTTGGTTGTTAATATTACAGTGCCTTATGTGTGTATGTGTGTGTTTGTGTGTGCCTTGTAAATAAAAATTTGTATCTATCTAACTATTATAAAAAACTTACCCTTTTACCGTACTGTTGGTAGAATTCTTGCGCAATTTCTTCTAAATAGCTAAATGCTAGCCTTTTACTATAGTTGCGCTCACAGAGAACCAGATAGCAGATCTCGTTCTCAATTAAATAGCTGGAAAAATATAAATGAAAGAGTTAGCTTCGCATTCGCAGCCCGAAAGCATACTAAATAAACAATAAAATTCTATTGGCGCTGCCACTGTATATTATTGTCGGTTTTTCGTGCGCGAGTCGGCTGCCAGCGCGAGTTGTTTTTACATTCAGCCCTCTCGCTCAGTTGTCGCCCGGCAATATTTCCGGCAGCAGTGGCAGGGGAAGCAATTAATTTTTTTTAGTTATTCATATTGGTCTCTATAATAATTCTGAATTTATTAAAGAAATAGAAATAGAAATAATCTTTATTCAAATAAACTCATTACAAGCACTTATGAATAGTCATATTTTGATTCTACCACTCATTCGGAATGCAGATTCATCACAAGAAGAATGAGCAAGAAACTTGTGTGTTGCTCTTTTTAATAGATGTTTTTTTTATATAAATAATTACAGTGTAACAAAAGAGGCATGCGACAATAAATAGAAATCGCTACGCACTCATTATTAGTGTAATCAGATAATATTGTCAGTGCTATGTATTTAAAATTTTTCTACAAAAACATTATTATCGTTAACGATTATTCAATTTTATAGTAGTTTTTTTTTTATTTGACATTTAAATCTTTTTTCTATTTTATAACAGATTTATAAAGGATTTTATTGTATTTTGAATAGAATAGAAAATCATTTATTCAAATAAACTTAATTGAAGCACTTTTGAATAGTCATTACATTTTTTTTTTGGTCTGTCGTTCGGAAAGCTGTCTCATCACAAGAAGAACGAGCAAGAAACTGTGTGTATGTGTGTGTTATGTGTGTGCTTTACATTTTTAAGTTTAAGTGTGTGAATACAAAACCAATTAGCACTAATTCAATTAAATATTCAAAAAGAAAAATATTGAATACATAACCAACTGGTTAAACAATTAATAAGAGGAAATCAGTCATAGTGATTAGAGCAGACCAGTCCCTACAAGCAGCACCCGTTCACGAGTAACGGATGAGCTAATCACTGCGCTCGACCATATTTTAGGGACTAATGACCCGGCCCACCACGCCGCCACAAGTCTGGACATTTTAGTGAGCATGACTACTCAAAACACTAGACCACGTCAAAGACTCACAATTGCTCTGATAGTTATAGTATTCACGTTTTACATAAAATATAAATGAATACAAAAACCGCTACGCTTTCATATTCGCAATCAATTAAATCAAGAAAGCAATGAGAAAATAAATTATAACGTTGTATGCTAATAAACTAATTATTTACTTGATATGTTGTCATCTATGAATTCGTCTATCCTGTAATAGGCTTTCTTACATAAAAATTGTTTAATGTAAGATTTGAATTGCTTCTCTGTCAGATTTAATGCAGATTCTGGCAGTTTATTATAAAATCTTATGCAATTACCATAGAATGAATTACTGATTTTGTGCAGACGGCATTTAGGTAAAATAAGCTTATTTATTTGCGTAAGTTTCTACTTGTACAGTCTTTAAGTTTTTTAAAACTCTCTAAATTCTTCCGTGTATACATAATATTTTCATAAATGTATTGTGAAGTAACTGTGAGGATATTTGAGTCTTTAAAGCACTGACGTAATGACTCTCTTGAACCCATACCATAAATAGAACGTATGGCTCTCTTTTGTAAAACAAATATAGTATTTATATCGGCTGCTTTACCCCACAGCAGTATGCCATAAGACATTATGCTATGGAAATAACTAAAATATACAAGTTTAATAGTCGCCACGTCTGTTAATCTTTAATTCTTCTAATTGCATATGCAGCAGAACTGAGTCTACTGGCCAATTTTGAACTATGGGGCCCCCATTGTACTATCGAGTCAACTGTTATACCTACAAAAACGGTATCATTAACAAAATTTACTATTTCATCATTAAGCAATAACTGTGTATTTATTAGTCTTACATTAGGAAGTGTAAATTTGTACACTGTTTTGCTGGAATTTAATAATAGGTTATTACATTAAACCAATTTAATATAGACATAGCACAATTTACATCGTCTAATTGATTACTTTGGCGTCCAATTTTAAACACTAACGAAGTATCATCCGCAAACAGCACTATATCTGCAATTTTCTCTACCATAAAGGGAAGGTCATTTATGTAGATTAAAAAAAGAAAGGGGCCTAAGATTGACCCTTGTGGAACGCCCATCTTAATATTAGCTCCCTTAGATTTTACACCGTCAATATTTTCTATCCTCTAAATAAGTTCTCATTAATTTTAGATCATTATCTCTTATACCATAATGTTCGAGCTTGTACAAAAGCGTTTTATGATCCACACAATCAAATGCCTTTGATAGGTCACAAAAAACTCCGAGTGCATCCTGTGACTTCTCCCAAGATTCGAAAATATGTGTCATTAGCGCAACACCTGCGTCAGTGGTAGACTTGCCGGCGGTGAAACCATTTACTAACAGTCCGTTAACCCTGAAGTGTTATAACATTTGATTTAACATTATCTTTTCAAACACCTTACTTAGAATCAAAATAGATATAGGTCTATAAAAAATTTATCTCCTGATTTAAATAATGGGATTAATTTACTAAATAATTAAATGTGGAAAAACGCCATTATCAATACATTTATTAAAAATAGTGGCTAGATATGGAGCAATAATATCTATGAAAGAACTAACTACTTTTACAGACATGCCTTAAAGGTCTTCCGTATTTTTTAAATTTAGCTGTTTGAATATTTTTATGATATGAAAGGGGCTAACATGTGAAAATTTAAATCTTAAAGAACAACAACCGATATTAGTCTCTAGTAATTTTTTTGCTCGAGATTGAGATGAGTCCAGAGAAGATGTAATATCAATCGGAATATTAACAAAAAAATCTTCAAAAATATTAACTACATCTTTTGTTGTTGTTATTAATTTATTATCATAATTTAATGTAAATTGATTACATTTTAGATCTTCCAGTTTCTTTATTTATAATGCTCCAGATGGTTTTAATTTTGTCAGAAGACTGCTTAATTTGTTTATTAAAAAAATTAGACTTAGCCATAATACAAACTTTTTTAAAAATTTTAGAATAATTTTTCACATAAGTGAATTTGTCATCAAATCGATATTTTTTTTGATCGTATAAATCAAACAAAATATTTCTACTTTTAAGTATTCCTACTGTTGCCCATTCCGTGAATTTAGATTTAACATGAACTTCTTTTTTCTTGAAAAATTGTTCATATTCTCCGGATAAAATATTATATTGTTTTAAGAAGTTAGAATCAAGAGTTCATAAAAAAAGAACATAATGCACAATTAGGGTAATAATAAAGACAGAATTTGTATAGAATTGTTTTGTATATAAATGTAAAAGTCCTTGAAAACTTGTCTTACTCGTAAACTCGTGCTTATGGGAAGCGGTCTGTTAGGGTTACTGATTAAATGATTCCCTTTTGACAAAATTGCAATAACATATCAACATTTTAAAACTTTTATCAATAGGTCATAGTATAATAATAATCTCAGGACAATTCCTACAGCGCCATCTAGACCCATTAAGCTAGCTAAAGCTTGTGTTATGGGTCCTAGACAACTGATACAAATACATAGATAATTTTTTTTGGTAAATACATACATATTATACATAGAAAATACCCAGACCGATACAAACAATCATACTCATGAATACAAATGTTTGTGCCGTGCGAGGAATCGAACCCGCGACCATCGGTCGTAAAGCGGTAGACTAGACCACTAGACCACCGAGGTCGTCAAGTATTCTAATTGAATTTAAATTTGAATATGTATTTTTGTTAATAATTATTATACAAGCTTATTTAAAAAAAAGCTGAGTTTCTTGTCAGCTCCTCATAGCTCAAAAGTACTTCAAACTAATGGTAGATTTAACATATCATAAGAGTCTGTAATATTATAATACATCGCAGCCCGGACGTCTTCCGGGCTGCGATGGTGATGATGAATGATGATTGATGATGATGATGAAGAATCTGTAATAGACCTATATGAATTGAGACATTTTGATTTGATTTCATAATATATAATCATATTTCATAATTCATCCAATAGCAATATGACATAAGTTATCAGGACTAATATTTTTATAGATTATATATTACACATTAATTACATCATTCCCTGATATTAAAAATGTAATCTAAATATATATAACTCAAAGGTGACTGACATAGTGATCTATCAACGCACAGCCCAAACCACTGGACGGATCGGGCTGAAATTTGGCATGTAGTTAGATGTTATGACATAGGCATCCGCTAAGTAAGGATTTTGATTAAATTTACCCCCAAAGGGATAATATAAGGGATGAAAGTATGTATGAAACTTTGTCAATTTTAAACCGATCGGGCTGAGACTTTGCATGCATAAAGCTACAATGACATAGGCATCCCCTAAGAAAGGATTTTGATAAATTCCACCCCTAAGGGGATAAATTAACGCGAGCGAAGCCACGGTCAAATGCTAGTGTATTCATATGTCCGATATATCTATTTGTCTTTAGACATTTCTATACAAATAGTCAGGTATCTAATTATGAAAATTAAATTACAAACTCAAGAGTGAGACTCAAATAAATGTGATTACTATGATTAAAAGCAGTGAAGTATATCTCTGAAATGGCTGGACCGATTTTGCCAGAATTTTATTGGCAGGTAGCTGATGTAATAAGGAGTAACTTAGGCTACTTTTATGTGTTCAGCCATTTCAGAAATTAGCCAAAAGAAACAGACGGACAGACAGACAAAAATTGTAAAAAATGTTATTTTGGTGTATGTACCATATCTACATTCATATGCATACAGTAAAAAACGGTTATTTCAATATTACAAACAGATGTTATAATTTTATTTAAATGTGTAGATTTATAGATGTGCCGTCACTAATAAAGTGTGACTCTTGACTATTCTGTCGCTTAGAGCTATAAATGGACATTTGTGAAGATAAGGTAACTAACAAATGGTACAGATAACAATAAATAATAAAGGTATAAGGTGTTAACATAAAATAACAAGCGTTCAACTCACTGGAACAGGTATGGCCCAGTCTCAATGGAGCAGCGCAGTGGCGACTGTGGGCTTAGTTTTCTAAACAGCATTTTTGCCTGATTCTGATACTCCAAAACATTGCAGCCGCTCTGCGAATTACCACAGCAAATTAAATTTAAAAATAAAATTCACTCGGAAAAAGAAAGTTAAGCGCACAGGTCGATAACTCTAGTGCAATATGCGCGGGTATTGTGAAATTTCGTGTGCAAGGAAATGGAACTAAATCGGAATTAATATGATTATTACCTGCTCGTCTTCTTGCATAGTAGCCGCTAAGGGTAGGCCATCCACGACCCTCGCAATCATGGTCATCAAAACCATTTTGATATTTTTTAAAGTCTATCACAATTGAGGAGAAATTTATGTTTTGACGAGTAATTTCATACACCGCACATTACTTTTACTTCTCATTATTGGAATATTTGTATGAAATTAGAAAACAACGCGATTGATGACAGCTGTGTATACACGACACGACAAAATGTCAAATTTTGCGATATGACAGCAACCTGTCACGTCAGCTTGTCTTTGGTAATGATAACGATGCGTTCGTGGTATCATAATTTGAATATCATCATAATGTTGGGTTCATGCTTTTTAAAATTTAGCGAAGTCATTATTTATATGAAAATAGCGAACCGACTCTTCGCACGGTGCATTAAAAATCTTCGAATTTCTCGGTTTGTTCTATACTATAATACCTATATATTATACATATAAACCTTCCTCTTGAATCACTCTATCTATTGCTGTAAAATGCATTAAAATCTATTGAGTAATTGATTAATTTTATAATGTAACGAAATTACATTATAGAACGTAAAACTCAATATAATGAATAAGATGTGATAAGATCTCTTTCGATAATATTTTTTTTAATATTTCTTAACATTTTTTTATTAATAAGATTGGAGTAGGATAGGATAAACATAATATCAGACGAATTAAACAAGAATTTAACTACGATGATTTCCAGTGAGGTCCGTGTTTAGCTCAACGTGACTGGAATATTATTAGCAATGGGGTCACTATTGCAAATCAATATAACAATTCCTTCCCTCTGTCTCTTAATATGTATAGGTACATGGGTGTAAGTACCATTTTCGCAGACCGTGTGGTGTTTACATTCCATAAATACAAATTTTACTTTTCATATTTATCTCCACAATTAATTTTGACACTTGAAAGGTTATGGCGATTATTGGTCCCATTTTTAGCAATATGCCATCCCAGGTTGACCTCACGGTCCGCTTTATAAGCCATCGTGGGTAATTTCTGGTAAAATCATAACAATATGCTGAGTAATCTGACTTCATAGTCGTCCTATCATCGTCCACTGGCATAGCGAGTTGCCTATACCATTAACGCAGGCAGGTGATGTTTTATCATCCATTTAAATAAAAGTAGGTACCAAGATGAAGTCTTGTGATAAATCAAGAAGCAGTCGAGTTCATTTTTCTTTAATATATTTTTTTTAATACATTATTATAACAATTATGTTATATGACTTTTTAAAGTCTTTGTTATATACTGTATCTATGTAGGAACTGGGTGCCATATATACCTGTTTTATATGATTTTTATACATAATTATATTCGTTTAATTTTGTTAAAATTTAACTTATTATTTCTGTTTTTTCTAGATTTTTTTATACAGTCTAGGTTACAGTCTACCTACAGGCAGATTTATTATATTGGAGTCGAATAAGGTTGTAAAGGAAAACAAGAGATTGTATTTTATTGTGGATATTTTATTAACATTATCATCATGCATCATTTATGTGCTAACTCATTTACACTTATAACTAACTATACATAGAAAAATAACTTAACTAGGGGGCAGAAAATACAGTATTTTGTAAAATTAACAACTAAATTTATAATTAACATATCGGACTTTAACTGCGTAAAACTAAAAGCAAGATCACTGTACCCTACTAAACTCTCAGAATATAAATAATTTTGTAACAATGACAGTGCCATCTACCGTCGGGCGGACACAACTCCTGTAACAATGACAGTGCCATCTACCGTCGGGTGGACACAACTCAATTTGGAACATACGTAAAATTACGTCGCTAATGTATAAAACTTTTTCCTCTTTAATTATGTATTCAAACATTGGACATAGATTAATTAACGATCAAGAATACATCGAAATAGTATATTTAACGACAAACACGTTCAAGTTCCGTCTATGGCGACCGCGGCGCCCTCCCTCGTCTATTACCAAATCACTAACCTTCTTCATTGCTTCCATGCAAAATATTTTCATACTTCACCTATCTAACGACCTAGTACGCGGTACAGGGCCCGTGTGCGCTTTGTCACTTTATTTACAACTTTATGATCCGCGTCACGTCGACGAGCGTGGCGCCAGCGATCAATCGCACGCGACGCGACGCGACACGACGCGACGCGACGCCCGTCGCCGCGCATACCCCAATTCAAACGACACATACCGAACTTGCGTCCGAATTAATTTTAAATAAATTTTATGATGCTAAGACTAGGCTCGATTAAAATAATTTCTTTAACAATAATTTTCTCGAGGTGCCGTTATTAATTTACATTGAAAATTTTAAGTACATTAATTAATTAGAAACTTTGATTTTTCAACAACATCAATTCGACTAAAATTATTAAAACTTTCCGAGCATCATTTTAAATGCCTGCTCAAACATTTTGCCTACTAACCGGTAACTCGTGTTTCACAGAATCGATTCGCGTTACACACTAGCCGAATTATAATTCTGAGAGCATTCAACTTCGCGTGGTCCATTCATTACCTAATATTAATTAATTTATTATATGTATATTACAATAAAATTTGTAACCTATAGAACGAAATTTCCTAAAGGGAAAGACTATGAAGTGGCTGCGAGGCGAGACGAGTCGGCGCGACTGTCGCACGACACGCCACGCGGCCACCAGCGACGAAAATAAATAAATTAAAATTATCTATAGATATATTTACAAAAGCATAAGAAAAGTGCCGAAAGAAAAGGTCGTTATGAAAATTCCATCTAGCTATATAAAAATATGATTAAAAATTTCTTTTTTAATATTGTTATAGATAAGTATAATATAATATTTAATCACATGAAACGAGCACTGGATTTGTTCGAAGAAGTTTGGACACTGAGATCTTTTTACCTATTATAACAATCACTTACGCACTGGGTACTATACAGTATTGTTTCACCTGCACTACGGTACTATATTATTGGTCTAACATATTGCATGTGTTGCCAGGCTATCAGTCGGTCCCTTGTAGCACCCTTCACCCCGACACTGGGCTCTAAGGCTCCTTGCATGCACATTGCTCTGTAGCGAACGCAGCCCGTCGCGACCCGACCTATTACATTATCAAAACCTATTCACTACAACTTGATATATTTCAATTTGAATATAAAAATATTGCATATATAGTTAGTTTTGTGGGAAGAGCGGGCTGCTGTCGCTCTAATTGAAGTCTCGTTCAGCAGGCTTGCTTCTGTTGCGGTCGAATAGATATAAAACCGAAATCGTATGGAATATATCAACAACAATACTTTATATTACTTTCAAACTCAAATTAATACAAAAATAGTTATATATAAAGGCTGCCATAGGAAGGCAAATACCATAGACTAAATTGATGTTTTCGATTTTATCGTAATCGTAAATAGCAAAAGTAAGCCTGAAAATTAGTAATTAAGTGAAATGTCGAGTATTGTTCACACATGTTTAGCTGCTAAACTACTCGCCACTGGACTGAACCACTAAATTAAACTGAAATTGACTTCGTAGCGCGCTTCTAAATTCCAAATCATCGTTGGTACTACAACATCGGCGCACGCGCATGTTTCTGCGGATTCCCTATTTCACAATACAATACCGTGTTCTTCTAGTATATAAATATATAAATGATTGCTCTTCTGTATGTAACAATGAAACATGTCCGCTGTCGCGTCTGTCGCGATCTACACCCTAATCGACCTTTCATTATCATCTATCTAGTTAAAGTATTATGATTCATTAACATTGGACCACAAATCCTAATTAATTATTAATAATATTTATTCAGGTAACAAAAAATAGAGATCTCGCGTGGCGTTCGTGTCGAAAACAAAGGCAATAATCTCTTTGTGATAAAACAGCTGATATGCATAAATGGGTACCGGCATTTTGTAAATATAAACGATTAAATATTGCATTTGATATGTAAAAACAATTTAGAGACGGGTTGGTGCGCCCCCGCGAGATCTCCGTCCAACAGACTTACTATAAATTTAAATAATCAAAATAATCTAGAACATGTTCACTTAAATAGCTCACTTATAGTAAACATCTATTCATAATAATTAACACAATAAACGCACAAATCATCCCTTAACTATATTTATATATCAGATTTCTAACAGAAGTTGGCAGTAGGATTCAGTACTAATGTAGACTATTAATTCCACAAAACAAACGAACCAAATATAATATCATTCCAAATTCGTTTTTGGGGGGGACATTGTACGCGGGAGTGGGGGCGATCGCGCTTGACCGCCGATCCGATCGGCCTGTCTGCCGGCCGGTTGGAGATTGGCAGTTGGCGGTTGGAGAGAGACTAGCCGCGAGCGCTCCCAGACCCTAAACTCAGTAGCAACCAAATGTCACAAAACTGATTAGCAATTTGTTTGTAAGTTTCGTTGCATTTGGTCGCTGTGGACTCGGCTTTAGATTCACAAGTGTCGACCAAACATAACTTGTACAATGCGCTACACGTAAACAATATATATAATATGTCCATATAATATACAAGTATATATTCAACAGTAGTGAGGTCCTTTGTAACAAGGTGTAAATATGCAAATGGCCTTTGTAAGCACCAAATATCTTATTTTGAGGATGTGCCACCGTAGTTTCGTCTATTTATAAACATTTTACGTAAATATTTCTTTAATATAAACTCTCATTACACTAGATAAAAGTCCACACTAATCGCGTATTGTAAAACTGTAATTTCAAACATCGTAAAGTGTATATTAATATGAATCGATACTTTTGCAAAGTATTGAGGTAGGAAGTTCAGATTTCGTGGTATCACGTAAACATGCAATATATAGAAACTTCGATACAAACATTTAAAAATTCGTTTGAACATTATACAAAAATCACTCCGTACCATTGGTATAACAAACAGCTAGCAAATTTAGTGTTCCTCTCTGAAATACCCTTAAAAATAGGTATACCTATATAAACATTTGAGCAATATATTTCATCTCTCCTATTTTTGTATAAATATTAAATTCAATGATAAGTTAAAATTAGTTCGATTTGAGAATATAATATTTATCTTAACAACTTTATCGTAAAGCGATCGGAGAGCGTAATGCATGATGATCTGAAAAATAGATGAATTTTCTAAGTAAGTAGTGAAAAATAATTTGTTTTGGATACGCCTCACTATAAGTAGTTACGTATGCCGTATTGTTCTGTCACACAGTCCATCACTGGAGATTCGAACCGATAACGTTCTGGCGAGCTCGGCTCACCGCTCACCGCTCACTGCGCACCGCTCACTGCGTACCGCTCACTGCGCTTCGCTCACTCCGGACCGCTCACCGCCCACCGCTCGCTCGCTCACTGACACGCTCGCTCAGCGCGCACGCGGGCGGCTCACGCCTACGCGAGCGAGCAGTCGATTTCAACGATGTCCTTGGGCACGTCCACGAATTGATACACGAGCCGCTGCCCGTCCACCTTGGCCAGGATGCCGCGCTGGTAGTAGTAGCGCAGCGCGCGCCCCATGGTCTCGTAGTTCATATCCGGCTTGTTCTTGTGCAATCCCCAAAGCCTCGACACCGCCTTCGAGTCGACCAGCTTGAACACGCCCTTCTCGCGGTTCGTCCACTTGATGTACCGAGGGCAGTACTCCCGGTCCTGGAGGAGTTTGAGTAGGAACTCCCAGAGGTAAGTGGTGGAGCCCTCGCGACTCTTGCGCTTGACGCCGGGCGTGGGCGGGGCGTCGCTCCGCGGCCTCTTCTTGGGCTTCAGCTTGTTGTGATGGTGGTGTCGCTGGTACTCGCCGAAGTCGAACACGGAGTAGGGGAGGTCGTCGTGGGGTAGGGGCGGGGGCGCGGGGGCTGCGAAGTGGTGCGCGCCGCCGCCCCCGCCGCCGTACCCGTAGCCGTACGCGTCGCGCTCGCTCATTGCACCAACTAGAATAGAACATAACAATGCTGGTTACGAATTGAATACTTATAAGATTTTTTCCAAGTGGAGTATCGAGAGGGGATTTTATTATTACCTTATCTGTGTTAAATATGACAATGTGACACATTTATTATTGTGCGGTTGGTCAGCTTGCATTCCTGTATTATTTATTATGTTGGCAACCTTTTACATTCATCAGACGTTCGTTCACGTTCGTTCACTTTCGTTCATCATTCACTCTTTCTAACCCTATACGGTGTGTAAAGATCACTTACTTGCTTAAATTGAACTAAAGTTCTTTTATAATAATTACTGCATTTTAATTAATATTAAGCTCAATACCCTATAATTTTATTTAGCATTCCTCGATATGATGTTTAGAGAATATTTATTTTTAAATTAGCCATTTAAAAATAGGCCAGATATAAATTTAAATTAGACAATAATACATAATCAATTACATTCTTATTCGGTTGCTTGTTTATTTTGAGCATTGATATTTTGATAAAAAGATATGTCATGATAAATTAATGAAATTCCAAGTATAATAAGAGATTGTAGCACACAATGTCACATTGAAGCAGTATCGGTAAATAATGACAATTTAAACTAAATTAATATAAGAGTTTACTAACTGAGCCGTCCAGCTTTCCACGGTTAAACACTTGGTATTTTTAACTCTAAAGATAGCATACTTTGAGGTTTCTTTACTCCCTAGGCATATACTTTCTATAATTCTCGTAATTCGGTCGTAGTTGTTCAAAAGTCTAAACTTTTCGACCAATTTTAAAAACTCTTCATAACTGTCCGTTTCGGGAAGCGATAGGTATTTCAGCGAAATATCTACAATCTTCTAAAAGATTTTGGCCTGTCTAGAGCCTCAGTAAGAGAACCTGTATTAGAACGTGTATCTAAAGCTACACTAGAAGATTCCTACCAAATTTGGCTGGACAGGGAGAAACAATAGCGGTAAATATGAGTGATGTCAAAGTGCAAGCGAGAGAAGTCCCGAGAACTGCTCGGAGTTTCCCTCACTGCCACACAACTTACCCCGCACAAGAAACCCACAAAATGCTACGAAGTTGATCTCTTTTCAATTAAATTGGGTTTCGTTATTGTCGGGTTACATATATAGATAGATATAGATAATTACATTGTAGATACGAATGCGCTGGTCTTGATTAGTGTAAATAATTAGAACTAACAATAGTGATTCTCACAGATTCGGCGTGGGAGTCGCTCCACCACAATCCATATTGTCTATGCCAAGTGCACTATTATAATAACATTTTAAACTTGATATATGCATTAATATATACATATATTCACGCCTGTAATCATAATTAGGATAGTCAGAAGCTATTTCAGCTGTCAACGTCGTGATCGGAATTATAGTCACGACGTAGAATAAGTTTTTTTTTATATGAATGTTTATGCCTTTCAGTAAAATTATTAAAAGAAAAAATAAAAAAAAAACACAAGTTTAAGTCAACGGAACAATTATATTTGCGACAAAGTTTTTTTTCTTCTGTGACTGTCAACGTATTTCAGGTAAATTATTAAAATGAATAAAAAAAACAACACTTAGATACAAATTGAATATGTTAATAAGTTCGGTGACTTTAGTTTAATCAGTTATTAAATATAATTCCTTAATATAAGTAAATATATATAAAACAATCTACTTGGAATTTTGGCAATAGATCACACGATACCGATGTTATTTTTGTATTACTAGAGAGTAAGAATTTATTTTAGTATTTGCTAATATCCTGCAGATGAAAAATAAATTTATCATTTTTAGTTCAAGAAGATTGAGTAACTTCCTTTTAGCTAATATGTAATTTTAAATATATACTTTTAATTAAAATGACATATAAAACTACGGCCTAGAATGGTAAACGGCAAATCACAGAGGTCACAAAATTGTGATCAAGTGTATGACTAATTTGGTAATCCTAAGAACGCTGTAATTTAATTATATAAAAAAAACACTATTTTAAGTCACAATTTCTCATAAAAATGTAACAATAATATATTTCAATGTAACATTTTAATTATCAATTCATAGTTACTCATAACCGAAAAAATAATTAAAAAAAAAAACAATTCTATAATTAACGTTGCATTTTTCCGCAACAATAACTATTACATATCTGTCTCTACAGATTATATTTCCGTATGTCATCACATAGAACTTGGCTCCCGTTCAGCCGAATTACGAAATGGTTCTGTAAGAATATAACACGTGTATGTACCTAACAAAAATTTGATAAGACAATGAGTGGAATAGATAAAGCGCGCTAGATTGCGTCAACGGCTGGGTATCGCCGCCTTGACCCCATTGCCTCTGCTCGCCAGCCTGTCACTGCGATTTTCCTCACGACATACGTCGGACAAGTTAGTTTTTTATTTACAATTCAACTTTTATCAATAACAATTGAGATGTATATGTTGTTGGTCTTTGCCTTTCTACTTTGTTTTTGTCTGATGTCAAGAAAAAATAAAAAGAAGCATAGACAATATTTATTATCCAACAAAGAGTAGGTTGTATGATCTAGAAACCGAGCAACATCGAAAATAGAAAAAGGACAACAACTATAATTTATAAATCATTAGCATATATTAATTTCTACAATAACATTAAATTTTAATTTACAATTTTATATCCAAACAAATCTTAAAATTTGTTAACAACAACAAATAATTTATTTTCTTAATTTATGTTAAGTCTAATTGGACACAGGTTATTTTTATGCCATTCTACAGAAGCTATGTGTATTACTTATAATCTCCTTTGTTGCAATATTAAAAATCTCAACATTAAACAGCGGTGTTATTATTTGCGAGCAACTAACATTCTCAAGAATATCTCGGTAAACAAGTTTTGCGTCAAAGCTGCGAACAATTCGAGAGGTGTTACAAACAATTTTCGCAGAATGCAAATAAAAAATCTAGAAGCGATTCAAATAGATAATGCCACGGGAAGCTATAAAATCCAGTTGTTTGCTCGTCGAGTAATTGACCCGTTTTTTATTCATCTGCCCGCGGTGGAAATGGATACCTACGAATCTGCCATGCGTATATTTTAAAATATTTCATACAATTACGATTTAAGACAATATAGCTGTACATTATATATGAGGATAACTGTATATTTACCGTGAATATTTTCATTGTAAGCTCCCAGTTGGTAAAGGCGGTTGACTAAAGATGGCAGAATATAAACCATTGTTACGAGCAGACAAATCTGTCTACAAGTGATTTATTACTTAGTCAGTTAGTAAAAAATAGTCTATTCTAGTTAATCTATTTAGTATAGTTAAAGAGTTTTCAATCATAGAGATTGAATGCAACATATAAACACTTATGCGATAAATTTAATTTCGTAATAATTTCCTTTAATGATATTGTTATCAATTGCCTTGCCTTGTAGATTGTCCTATTTAAGTATTTTTTTATTGTAACACATACCCGGTTCTATTTAACTGACATAAGCAGATTAATTTGCTGATAAGCATCTCGTTGTCGTACTACGTCAATGTCGCTCGACAATCTGACTATGGACGTCGTCCGCCATTTTATTTCTAATATTATCTAACTTGTGTTTTGCGTGGCTTATCGGCAGGTCGTTCACCCTGCTCGTTTACACGTGTGTCCGTCCGTTTGTCACGTTCGCACTCTTAATTATGGTTTATAGGTGTTGAGCCGTAAGGATTGGATGTCAACATATCAAGCCTTCTATGGGAACGTTGTGGTGAATCAGCCGTACCTTTTAATGGCGACACAATTGGGAAAGATTTAAACAGATTACACGCGAACTGTATAATATGATTAAATAGATTATTGACGGCCCCAGTGGTGTAGAGGTTTAGCACACCGTCTTACTTCTGATGGTCGCGGATTCGACTCCTCGAACAGTATAAATATTTGTATTCGTAAGTACGACTGTATGGATCGGTCTGGGTGTCAATATATTGTCTTCAAAAAAATGTATGTAAGTATTTATATCACTTGTCCAGTATATATAACACAAAGTTTATGTAGCTAGGGACTAGATGGCGTTATGTGAATTGTTATGAGATGTTATTATGATTATTATCAAGTTATAATACAATCATCAAATTCTCATTGTAGTCCTAAATGAGACAGAAATACTGTCAACTGTCAATGTTGTGGTCAACTACCATTAATATATCTATTTTGCTGAGAATATTAAAGAGTCTCGACGTCCTCTTAGAATTTGATTTGTTATCTGTGCTTTTTAATCATACGCGACTTATTTTTGGTGCTGGCTAAATTCGATCTCACGACCTACAAGGTGTATATCAGGGCAGTATGTCACTAAATCAAAACGCTGTCATCACATAATTGCCCTTTGTTCCCCTTGGTACTACAGTCAACGTTTCTTTAAAATACCCACAAAACAGCATCATTACGCGTCTGGTTGGTTATTTTGCAGTTATCTATGAATCCCCTATCCCACTTTTCGATGTGCCGTGGTTCTCTCGTCCCAGATTCATCATCATCATCATCTCAGCCCGGAAGATGTCCACTATTGAACAGATGCCATAGTTTCATCATCATTCATAGACTCGTTCTAGATTATTAAACAGAAATTGTGTTAAACTGCACAGTACTAGTTTCCACGTCACATCATATTCGAACTCTGCTAATACGTCCACCAGTTATATTAACTTTCTGTCCGCAATGATGATGGAAAGGCCTGGATTACGATACAGTATCTACAATATCTCCGATATATATTGATATAACTACATACATACATAATTTACAATGATAACAGGCTCAAAATGGTCACGTCCGTACTTGGTATTTAATAGGCCTAACAAAATTTTGCAGATTTTGCCAAGATGAAGCGGAAATGCCACTACACATCCTATGTGGTTGTAGCCCACTCATGCATAGACGAAATATCTCCTTTGGAAAGTACGCACTCTATCCTGAGGAGATAAAGACCATCGCTCTTAAGAATATCCTTCAA